TGGTACTATGTACTTTTGGAAGATCTCTCGTTCAATGCTTTATGTTATCAAAAAAAGATTACATTCGGGTTCATCACATGAAAATTTGGATTGAGTTCAGGACTTTAAATAACAGTCGTTAGCACTTTCTAGACCATAAACAAAAATAGAGGAATTAAATCTGAAATATGCTGATAACTTACAGTTGCAGGAGTTTTGATGGCATTGTTTCAACGTATGATAATATTTAGACTGCACCAACTCAGTAGATCGATTAATTTCTCCAGCAGTCCGCTGTCGGATGACTTGTGCAAGCAGATCAGCAGTGCTTCTACTCTAGCAGTTCCATTTCTTCCGAGGACGGATGACTAGAGTTTTGAAGAATTGGAAGTTTATTGATAGTGCTTCGCAACGTCAACGATGCCTGGCCTGTTAAGAAATTACATGGTGCAGTAGGCGGTGAGCCAGCCCAAGAAATAAACATAATAAAAACAAATGGTGACTCGCAAAGAAAGAAAGAAAAAAGAAGGAACTAGGAAATAGGAGGCTGTGTCAAAATCACATACATGAAACACTCATCCATCATGCAAGGCAAAACACATCAAAGGCCTTACAAACTCACCTTCAAACCCACCTCCAAATTCACATATCACCCGAAAACCGGTTGAATGTTTCATAGAAGAAGCAGGGTCATTGACAGTTCCTCTGCTTTGGTGAGGGCGACACGCTAACTTGGTTACTGCGTCTCCTCTGTAACTCTCACCATTGCCCTTTGTCTATTTCTTTGTTTCATGTTTGCTTGCCTCGTTGTAGGCTCTGTATGTTTTGTTTGGCATCTTTCTTTTCCCAGTTTTAATCTACCAGTTTTCTAAAAATAAATAAATAAATAAAACATTTTAAATTACTAGTATGACTATCTTATAAGAAAGAAAATCTTTCAAGTTACTAGTATCTTAGGAAAAAAAAAATCCCTTTGATTTACTTGTTCTTAGGAAAGAGCTTTCAAGTTACAGGATGTCAAGAAAGATTGACATTGAATATTTTAGCAAGGCTTCTAATCTCTAAAGAACAAAACAAGGCCACTCACATATACACAAAGTGCTCGACGAATTGTTTCGTTTAAAAAAATACATAATTTTTTTTTGCGCGTTGTGTGCTATTTTCGTCTACAAAATCTTTAAATATTTTATACTAGGACCATTCAAGGTTAGAATCCTGAATTCGCCACTGCCAATAATTCTCCACTTTTGTTTTGTTTTTTCAAAAAGACAAATAGAAACTAGAAACTTCTCTTTAAGTTTGGACAAGAATCTATAAACCCCAATAATAATATTGTTTTCCATATGAAAAATCAACATTAGTTCTTTCTCAAATGACACTTCAGATTTTACATGCGGATATGATTCCATAGTACGTCTTGTTGATCATTTCTATTAACCACCGGTTCACAACGCAAAAAGAAGCATCTTTATGCTAGTGGTGATTCGTCCATATTCCTACGAGGGCTAATGACCATCTCCTCCATTTGCTCGTGTCATGAGAATGGAGAAGGTGGTTATCCGGCATTTCGCCCGTATTGTTTGCTTTCTCATAAACAACGGATGAGGATCACATCTAGATCCAAATGGTGGGGATCTTAGAAATCCTTACATCCTAATTGTTCATCGTATATTGTGCGGTCAGTTTTCGTCAGATACTATTTGTGTTTAATTTTAAATAATAAAATTCAAATGATTTTTGAACGTATGATGTACGATAAACGGTTAAGATATGAGACTTCCTAGGATCCCTACCATTTGGATCCAGGGATCCAAATCCATAAACTACTATCTATCAAAGATCTCCATTGGAATAAAACAAATGATGCGGGGTCCACGGCTGGATATTTGGTCAGCGGTCGTAAAAGGTATTGTAGAAGCTGAGGCAGACTTCATGCGGATGAAATGCAGCACTTGCAGACATTCTTCCTCGCGAACAATAAACATCTCGGGCTGTCTAAGATTGAGAAGACTGGGAATCGCCATGAGTAATAAGAAGGCCCACATCCCACCAGGAGAACGTTATTGAAGTTGATTCTCGGTTGATTTCAATCATGAGTAATAGAAAGGCCCGAGATTTCAATCATGTCTTTGATAAGCATATTACTGTCAAGTAGATCGTCATCATTGTTCGTTTAGATTTCTATGGTGCAGTTCTCTCAATCTCTAATGGAGTTCATATAACAGTTGGCATTTGAAAGTGCTTCATAGTCCATGCTTGAGGCTACAAACAAAATCCAATCCTCCTTCAACTATTCACCAAAGAAGGGATGGCGAGGACTTTAACTGCATAAAATGAGCAGCAGCAGTGGGACTTCACAGTCCTCTGTTTTTTTCTGAAACTTCGTAGCACTCTTCATAGTCTTATGTCCAAGAGAGTTCATAGTCATGTTATGCAAAGTTTCAATCTCAAGCTTGGTTACCCATGTTGAGATTGATGGGGAGTACTAAAAGATGTTTTTATTGGAGATTAGTTTATAATTGAACGGTCGAGATTGGTCTAGTTGATGAAAGCTATTAGAAGAGTTTGTTAGAAGGTTGTAAAATTAGTTATTTATTGATAGGCTAGTATAAATTAGAAGCTCTCCTTGACTGTAATTTTTTTTCAACTTAGAAGATATTAATACAAGCTTTCATTTCCTTCTAAACTTTCACCTTCTTTGTTTTATTGTAATTTGGATAGTTTCATACATTTTTCAATGTATTAAATATCTTTTCTCTTTGAGGTATTTAGTATATAGTTGAGGGTATTTCAATTGACTCGAGAATATTAGACTATTATTATATATTTGACGGTATTTTTTAGCTGCCTTTATTTCAATATTTTAAAGCAATTTTGTAATATTAAGTATTTAAAATAAGGCCTAGGTAAAGTAAGACAGAGACTATAAGAAGATGAAAAAAGTATATGTAACAAATTGACTAATATTTAACTACCTAATTAAATTCATGAAACATCCAACATGTGTCATTTTACACCAACTTTATATAAAAGTTTACCAAACACTTTGACACTTTTTTTTTTTTTTTTGCTAAATGAACTTTTAGCAATATAGTTTATACACTTACCTGATTTGTTTTTACAACGACTTATTCTCACAGCACAATAGAAATAATTTTTTTTTTTTTGTTTTTTTAAAATAAAAAAACACAGCAACCCAAACTAGCCCCTAGCTGGGCATAACAAACTCTTCAATTCGAACAAGTTCTCTAGCCACATCCACCATATCTGGTCGGCTTTCAATTCTATCTCGAGTGCAAAACAATGCCAGGTTTAGGAAATCATGCAACTGCTGTTGTATTTGCTCATTTTCCTCCACCTCCTCAAAGATTTTTGGATCGACAATCGCCCTGATTTGACCATCACATTCAAGAACATAAGAAATCACATTTCCATATCCTTTAAGTTCCAGAGCTTTTCGTCCCGTCAGGAATACAAGTAAAAGAACACCAAAGCTGTAAACATCAGTTTTTTCTGAAATGCAACCAGACCGCATGTAGGCAGGGTCAAGGTACCCAAGTGTCCCTCGCACAGCATCTGCAACATCCGAATCCGGAGGAGGAATGGTTATAGAGAGCGAGAAGTCGTAAAGTTTGGGAACATAGTCATCATCCAAGAACAGGCAGCTGGGGTTCAGATACCCAAAAATGATGGCTCCGGCAAAGGCGGTATGGAGATATGAAACTGCACTAGCAACTTGCTTTGCAATACGCAATCTAATGTTCCATGGTAGTATGATTTGATCTTCACTAGCCCCACCTAAACTTCCATCAGGGTTGAGAACTCCTTTTGCTGCGTATTCATGCACCAGCACTGGTATAGGGAACTCTAAGCAGCAGCCCAAGAGTTTCAAAACATTATCATGGTTGCTCATCTGCAATGAAATGACAATGTCACGAATAACGCAAGACCTATCCTCATCCTCGCCTGACCGGTTCCGAAAGTCGTACTTTGATACGATAATGGATCGGCCATCTAGAAATCCCCTGAACATTGCGTAATATGTACCCTGTTTTACAGTGCGAGAAGGACTGAAGTTGTTGGTTGCCCTGATGAGGTCATCCGCAGAGTAACAATGAATAGGATGAGATTCTCCATCACTAGAAGCAAGGAGATCCTCTAATAACTTTTTTAGATTCTTGTAGTATGACGACTCTCTTTCCTTCTTTCTAAAAAATGGCAGCTTTGAGAACCTGGCAGAAATATATATATCTTTCTTACTTGCCATTGTCAACAACGAAAACAAAATGTTGAAATGTTAAAAATCTCATAATTATCTAGTGCGGTACACCTGCTCTCATACCATGCTTGGCCTATAGCTAAAACTTATACTCTAAACTTGGCTGAACAACAAGAACGAATTAGAGAATGATTTTTTCCCCATTTATGTGGTACTAAATACTTTTGGAAGATCTCTTGTTCAACAATTTATGTTCTCGAAAAAAGATTACATTCGGATTCAGCACATGAAAATTTTGATTGAGTTCAGGACTTTAAATAATGGTCGATATCACTTCCTAGACCATAAACAAAAACAGAGGAATTAAATCTGAAATATGCTTATAACTCACAGTTGCAGGAGTTTTGATGGCATTGTTTCAACGTATGATAAGATTCAGATTGCACCAACTCAGTAGATCTATCGATTTCTCCAGCAGTCCGCTGTCGGATGTCTTGTGCAAGCAGATCAGCAGCGCTTCTACTCCGGCAGTTTCATTTTCTTCTGCGGACGGATAACTAGAGTTTTGAAGAATTGGAAGTTTATTGGTAATGCTTTGCAAAGTCAACGATGCCTGGCCTGCTAAGAAATTACATGGTGTGGTAGGCGGTGGGCCAGGCCGAAGAAATACACATGATAAAGGCAACTGGCAACTTGCAAAGAAAGAAAGAAGGAACTAGGAAATAGGAGGCTGTGACAAAATCACATACATGATACACTCGTCCATCATGCAAGGCAAAACACATCAACGGCCTTACAATCTCACCTTCAAAATCCACCTCCAAAGTCACCTATCACCCGAAAACCAGCACAACGCGTAAGCAGGCCTGTGCCTGCCACATCAATCACAATGTGGTGAATTTCCTAATGATAATTTGATTGATCGTCTAGAAAACTCGAGTGTCACTGTTCTATAACAGTAAAATGGCAAAAATGCTCTCCAAATTTTTATCTGGCTGTGCTTTATTTCAGCTTTTCTATAGTGAAAATGTGGTTATGCCCTTCCACTCCACCTGTCGACCATCGCTGCGTCTTCTAGTTTCTTCCCTTTGCTTTTCACTCTTTTTGCTTATGTTGCTTTTCACTCCTTCTCCACTAATTTCCGTTCGATTGTTTTGCGTTTTGTGCTTTGGTGAGATATTTTATTAGTCTATGTTATGTGTTCTGATCAAGGATTGAATTGGGTTTCTTAGTTAAAGCGAAACTGGACTCTTCCTTTTGCTTCCAATACGTTCTTCCAACCCACCCCCAATTCTCTCTCGACAGTTTTTCTTGGAAGCACAACGTGAATCCTGTCCCGGTTCTCTCGATTCAAAAAAATTCTTCAACTGGCTTTGATTTCAAGGTAACTCTTCTCTCTTCAGAATTTTGTTTGGGATTATCTTTTTCACTCTGTTCCACTGAATCTCTATGACCTTTGATTGAATCTTTTCTAAAATGGGTGTTCTAAAGCAGCTGTCATCTTTGCATACAACTTCCTTGCTGCTGCGTTGGGGGCGACGATCTGAAGTGAAAGGCCTCAAATTTACAGCTAATACAAATATCATGTATTGCTTATCGCATTTTATCTTCAAGCTTAATCCATCACTTGATATGCAGTACTAATTCAGTTGTTCATCAATTTGTTTCACTTTTAGGTTTTATTATGGTAAGTAATTCCTCTATTTCGAGTATCATGTATATGTTCTTGATTTCCACTGAATGCATATATTTGTGTTAAAGTATTGATTTTCGGTTTTTTACAGTTTCGTAATGCATTCTTTTGTCATGTCATTAATGATCACATGTTTGCTAAGCATGATCATGTGCAATAAAATGCATCTGGTGACTTCATTAATCCTCTATCCAATATTTGTATTAGTTGATTGAGAATTAGAGTTACGCGATTTCCCAATAATGCATCGAATTGAAGGTTTTTTTTTGAAATTTTTTCGTTTTCTGTCATGATAGTTGCAATAAGCTTGGATTGTATTGTTGCTAAATACTATGATATGCAAGATGGGGAACTTCGATTAATATGCTAAATTCTTAAAATTGGGACGTCTAGATGTTTATAGACGGTTCTTCCAACATCATTAACTGTATCAATTCTGCACCAAGTCCCAGAAGGTCGTGTTGGGGTATATTGGAGAGGATGCACTCTTCTGAGGACAATTACAAGGGGACAGGCGTCAGTTACTATGAATACTCGGGTTCGAACTTTTTTGAGCCCAATCACCAAAACGTGGGACATAAACTCTCTCATACCCTTCATTTTCAAGGAGAAGCTGAAAGTTGTTACGGGTACTAATATTGGCGATGTTACAGGAAAGGATCGCCTCATCTGGACAGAGACTAAGACTGGCGTTTAGACGGTGAAATCCGAGTACCTTTCAATGCAGGCTAGTGTTTGCCCTCCTCTGCCTTCTCGTCCCTTCATGTCCCGTGCCACTCCAAATCGTGTGTGGAAGATTATTTGGCAATTGCAAACCCCTGCAAAAATCAAGAATTTTCTATGGAAGACTTTCCACTGCCCTCTTGCCACGATGGAGGACCTGTTTAAGCGTTAATCTGCCCCTAACCTGATGTGCACGATATGCCATCTTCAGAAAGAGTCAATTGAACACCTTTTTTTATTTTGCCAATCGGTAAAACCCATCTGGTTTGGTGGGATACTAAATTACAAGATTGATAGAAGTGGGGTATCTAGTTGGATAAAAAGTGGTTGACTCGGTGGCTTACAGTCAATTGGGGGACAGTGGGGACCAGTTGCACGTGCTTTCATATGTTGCCTTCACATGTTGGCATATATGGAAGGCTCATTGCAATCTCTTGTTTAATTGGTGACCAATCGACCCCACCCAAGTGGTTTGTGCCATTAATAACTCGGCAGGTGCTTTCAGTGCAGCTGTATGTGATGTATCCACTCCCGTCTCCTGTCCCTCCGGAGGATGATCGATTGCCCAGGTGGTTCCCTCTACCACAATGTATACAAAAATAAATGTTGATGCTAGTTGGTCGATGCAGACGCGTTCTGGCTTCGCTGGAATTGTTGTGCAGGATGACAAAGGCTCTTTTGTGGTTGCAATCAGGTACGCTATTCGAGCCCCTTGTGTTGGTGTGGCAAAAGCAATGGTTATCCTCAAAGGGTGTGAATTTGGTCTTTGGTTGGGGCTTAGTAAGGTGGTTGTGGAGTTTGATTCCCAAGAGTCTATCTCCTCTCTGGTGGACTCGCTCGACAAGGGTAGATGGGAAGCTTTCCCTTACTTAGTGAAAGCTAAAAGACTAGGGGATTCTTTCCAGGATTATTGCTAGTCTTGGATCCCAAGACTAGCCAATTTGGCAACAAATGCTTTGGCGTCGCAGAGATGCTTAGAGATGTGTGATGTTACTTGGGTTAACAGACCCCCATCTTCACTTGTTCATGTCCTTCACAATGACGGATTACCTTGCCCTGCTTAGGGCTCGGGGGGCTTTGCTGAGGGCGACACGCTAACTTGGTTACCGCGTCTCCTTTGTAACTCTCACCATTGCCCTTTGTCTATTTCTTTGTTTCATGTTTGCTTGCCTCGTTGTAGGCTTTGTATGTTTCATCTGGTATCTTTGCCCGGTTTTAATCTACCAGTTTTCAAATAAAAAAAAAAAAAAAAAAGCCATTTTAAATTACTAATATGACTATCGTCTAAGAAAGAAAATCTTTCAAGTTACTACTATCTTAGAAAAAAAAAAAAAAAAAAAAAAAAAAAAAACCTTTGATTTACTTGTTCTTAGGAAAGAGCTTTCAAGTTACTGGATGTCAAGAAAGATTGCCATTCAATATTTTAGCAAGGCTTCTAATCTCTAAAGAACAAAACAAGGCCACTCATATATACACAAAGTGCTCGACGAATTGTTTGGTTTAAAAAATACATAAATTTTTTTGCGCGTTGTGTGCTATTTTCGTCTACAAAATCCTTAAATATTTTATACTAGGATCATTCAAGGTTAGAATCCTGAATCCACCACTGCCAATAATTCTCCACTTTTGTTTTGTTTTTTCAAAAAGACAAATAGAAACTACAAACTTCTCTTTAAGTTTGGACGAGAATCTATTAACCCCAATAATAATATTGTTTTCCACATGAAAAATCAACATTAGTTCTTTCTCAAATGACACATGAGATTTTACATGCGGATATGATTCCATAGTACGTCTTGTTGATCATTTCTATTAACCACCGGTTCACAACGCAAAAAGAAGCATCTTTACGCTAGTGGTGATTCGTCCATATTCCTACGAGGTGGCTAATGACCATCTCCTCCATTTGCTCGTGTCATGAGAATGGAGAAGGTGGTTATCCGGCATTTCGCCCGCATTGTTTGCATTCTCATAAACAACGGATGAGAATTCCATCTCGTTCCAAATGGTGAACATCTCAGAAATCCTCACATCTTAGTTGTTTATCGTGTATCGTGCGATCAGTTTTTGTCATGTACTATTTGTGTTTAATTTTAAATAATAAGATTCAAATGATTTCTGAAAGCACGATATACGATGAACGGTTAGAATACGAGAATTCCTAAGATCTTCACCATTTGGATCCTGGAATCCAAATCCATAAACAACTATCTATCAAAGATCTCCATTGGAATAAAACAAATGATGCGGGGTCCACGGCTGGATAATTTGGTCAGCGGTCGTAAAAGGTATTGTAGAAGCTGAGGCAGACTTCATACCGATGAAATGCAGCAATTGTAGACATTCTTCCTCGCGAACAATAAACATCTCGAGCTGTCTAAGATTGAGAAGACTGGGAATCGCCATGAGTGATAAGAAGGCCCACATCCCACCAGGAGAACGTTATTGAAGTTGATTCTCGGTTGATTTCAATCATGTCTTTGAGCATTGTCTTTTAAGCATATTACTGTCAAGTAGATCGTCATCATTGTTCGTTTAGATTTCTACCAGTGTGGTGTTGCAATAGATTTCTACAGGCAAGTGATGATCGGTTGGTGCAGTTCTCTCAATCTCTAATGGAGTTCATATAACAGTTGGCCCTTGAACGTGCTTCATAGTCCATGCTTGAGGCTACAAACAAAATCCAATCCTCCTTCAACTATTCACCAAAGAAGGGATGGCGAGGACTTTAACTGCATAAAATGAGCAGCAGCAGTGGGACTTCATAGTCCTCTGTTTTTTTCTGAAACATCGTAGCACTCTTCATAGTCTTATGTCCAAGGGAGTTCATGGTCTTGTTATGCAAAGTTTCAATCTCAAGCTTGGTTACCCATGTTGAGATTGATGGGGAGTACTAAAAGATGTTTTTATTGGAGATTAGTTTATAATTGAACGGTCGAGATTGGTCTAGTTGATGAAAGTTATTAGAAGAGTTTGTTAGAAGGTTGTAAAATTAGTTATTTATTGATAGGCTAGTATAAATTAAAAGCTCTCCTTTACTATAATTTTTTTTCAACTTAAAAGATATTAATACAAGCTTTCATTTCTTTCTAAACTTTCACCTTCTTCTTCTTTGTTTCATTGTAATTTGGATAGTTTCATACATTTTTCAATGTATTAAATATCTGATCTCTTTGAAGTACGTAGTATATAGTTGAGGGTATTTCAATTGACTCGAGAATATTAGACTATTATTATATATTTGACGGTATTTTTTAGCTGCCATTATTTCAATATTTTAAAGCAATTTTGTAATATTAAGTATTTAAAATAAAGCCTAGGTAAAGTAAGACAGAGACTATAAGAAGAAGAAAAAAGTATATGTAACAAATTGACTAATATTTAACTACCTAATTAAATTCATGAAACATCCAACATGTGTCATTTTACACCAGTTTTATATAAAAATTTACCAAACATTTTGACACTTTTTTGTTTTTTTTTTTGCTAAATGAACTTTTAGCAATATAGTTAATTAAACACTTACCTGATTTTTTTACGATGACTTATTCTCACAGCACAATAGAAATAGTTTAAAAAAAAAAAAAAAAAAAAAAAACACAGCAATCCAAACTAGCCCCTAGCTGGGCATAACAAACTCTTCAATTCGAACAAGTTCTCTAGCCACATCCACCATATCTGGTCGGCTTTCAATTCTATCTCGAGTGCAAAACAATGCCAGGTTTAGGAAATCATGCAACTGCTGTTGTATTTGCTCATTTTGCCCCACCTCCTCAAAGATTTTTGGATCGACAATCGCCCTGATTTGACCATCACATTCAAGAACATAAGAAATCACAGATTCATATCCTTCCTCCTGATTAAATTCCACAGCTTTTCGTCCCGTCAGGAATACAAGTAAAAGAACACCAAAGCTGTAAACATCAGCTTTTTCTGAAATGCTACCAGACCACATGTAGGCAGGGTCAAGGTACCCAGGTGTCCCTCCCACAGCATCTTGAACATCCCAATCTGGAGGAGGAATGGTTATAGAGTGCGAGAAGTCGTAAAGTTTGGGAACATAGTCGTCATCCAAGAACAGGCAGTTGGGGTTCAGATACCTATGAATGATGGCTCGGGCAAAAGCGGTATGGAGATATGAAACTGCACTAGCAACTTGCTTTGCAATACGCAATCTAATGTTCCATGGTAGTATGATTTGATCTTCATCACTAGCCCCACCTAAACTTCCATCAGAGTTGAGAACTCCTTTTGCTGCGTATTCATGCACCAGCACTGGTATAGGGAACTCTAAGCAGCAGCCCAGGAGTTTCAAAACATTATCATGGTTGCTCATCTGCAATGAAATGACAATGTCACGAATAACGCAAGACCTATCCCCATCCTCGGTTGACCAGTTCCGAATGTAGTACTTTGATACGAAAATGGATCGGCCATCTAGAAATCCCCTGAACATTGCGTAAAATGAACCCTGTTTTACAGTGTGAGAAGGAATGAAGTTGTTAGTTGCCCTGATGAGGTCATCCGCAGAGTAACAATGAATAGGATGAGATTCTCCATCACTAGAAGCAAGGAGATCCTCTAATAACTTTTTTAGATTCTTGTAGTATGACGCCTCTCTTTCCTTCTTTCTAAAAAATGGCAGCTTTGAGAACCTGACACAAATATATACACACGATGTAACACAAAAAATTCATGAAACTGTATATATCTTTCTTACTTGCCATTGTCAACAACGAAAACAAAATGTTGAAATGTTAAAAAGTTAAAAATCTCATAAATATCTAGTGCGGTACACCTGCTCTCATACCATGCTTGGCCTATAGCTAAAACTTATACTCTACACTTGGCTGAACAACAAGAACGAATTAGAGAATGATTTTTTCCCCATTTATGTGGTACTAAATACTTTTGGAAGATCTCTTGTTCAACAATTTATGTTCTCGAAAAAAGATTACTTCGGATTCAGCACATGAAAAATTTGATTGAGTTTAGGACTTTAAATAATGGTCGATAGCACTTCCTAGACCATAAACAAAAACAGAGGAATTAAATCTGAAATATGCTGATAACTCACAGTTGCAGGAGTTTTGATAGCATTGTTTCAACGTATGATAAGATTCAGATTGCACCAACTCAGTAGATCGATCGATTTCTCCAGCAGTCTGCTGTCGGATGTCTTGTGCAAGCAGATCAGCAGCGCTTCTACTCCGGCAGTTTCATTTTCTTCTGCGGACGGATAACTAGAGTTTTGAAGAATTGGAAGTTTCTTGGTAATGCTTTGCAAAGTCAACGATGCCTGGCCTGCTAAGAAATTACATGGTGCTAGGTGGTGGGCCAGGCCGAAGAAATACACATGATAAAGGCAACTGGCAACTTGCAAAGAAAGAAAGGAGGAACTAGGAAATAGGAGGCTGTGACAAAATCACATACATGATACACTCGTCCATCATGCAAGGCAAAACACATCAACAACCTTACATCTCACCTTCAAAACCCACCTCCAAATTCATCTATCACCCGGAAACCAGCACAATGCGTAAGCAGGCCTGTGCCTGCCACATCAATCACAATGTGATGAATTTCCTAATGATAATTTGATTGATCGTCTAGAAAACCCTGAAGCACGCCATAGAGTAAATCCTTCTGTATAATGCTAAAAGGATCGAAGTTGTTGGTTGCCCTGTTGAGCTCTGCAGTAGAATAAAAAACAAATGGGAATTTGGAGCAAGCCTCTGTCTGAGATTGATTACAATTTTACACAATGTTGTCAAAAAAAGCTTTGATGCATTAATTTGACTACCTTGTTTTGTTGTTTACTAAACGCCAAGTGTGAACCAAAGAAAGCCAAATGCAATGATGAAAACCAGAACTTACAAAATTTTGGATGGCATCGTTTTTGCTTTTTGCATCAAAGACAAAAGCGATGCAAGTTCCGTGGTTGAATCGATACCCTCTGATGTTAACAAATGAGATGGATAACAATGTTAGTAGTATTAATTAGACAAAATACACCTCAAGTTTTCTGTAATGTACCCAGTTTCCATGTAAATAGGGTCAGCGTACAGTATGTCCTTTCACATCATCTTCAACATGCAACTGCTGAGTAACAATAGTTGTACACCGCAGAAAACTTCTATAATTCTCCCATCTTGGAATTATCATGAAAATATAACAAAACTCTCAATGACCTCTGCTTCTTATGCAAGATTGGGCTCAAACCTTGAGTTTGGACTTTGGGGGTGTGATAATTAATATATATGGTGGAGGAAAATATAGTTGATCCTTTGACAAAAGGCCTACCAAGAGAACGATCAGATTACAAACATTAGAATTGCCGTTAAACCAGTATCCAATACTTTTGATAACAAATGTAGTGGATCGAAGCCAGCTGGCCAAAACAAATTCTTCAATTCGAATGAGTTCTCTAGCAATGCCAGTTCAAGGAAATCATGCGACTGCTGTTGTACTTGCTCATTTCCCCCCACTTCCTCATAGATTCTCGGATCAAGAATTTCCCCAATTCGGCCATCACAACCACTAGCATATGGAATTATTTCAATTCCTTCCACCCGCTCCCAAGGTGTTCGTCCCGTCAGTAAAACAACTAAAAGAATACCAAAGCTGTAAACATCAGTTTTTTCTGAAATGAGACCAGGCCGCATGTAGGCGGGGTCAAGGTACCCAGGGGTCCCTCCCACAGCATCTTCAACATCTTATTCCGTAGGAGGAATGGTTGTCGAGTGCGAGAAGCTGAAAAGTTTGGAAACATAGTCATCATCCAAGAACAGGCAGCTGGGGTTTAGATACCTATGAATGATGGGTTCGGCAAAAGGGGTATGGAGATATGAAACTGTACTGGCAAGCTGCTTTGCAATACGCAATCTAATGTTCCATGGTAGTATGATTTGATCTTCATTATCCCCTCTTAAACTTCCATTATGGTTGAGAACTCCTTTTGCTGCGTATGCATGCACCAGCACTGGTATGGGGAACTCTAAGCCCCAGCCCAAGAGTTTCAAAACATTATCATGGTTGCTCATCTGTAATGAAATGTCAATGTCACAAATAACGCAAGACCTATCCCTATCCTCATTTGACCAGCTCCGAATGCAGTACTTTGATACCATAACATATCATAGAATTGACCCTGTATTGCAATGCCACCATGCTTTACAATGCAAGAAGGACTGAAGTTGTTGGTTCCCTTGATGAGGTCATCAGCAGAGTAACAACGAATAGGATGAGATTCTCCATCACTAGAAGCAAAGAGATCCTCTGAAAACTTTTTTGGATTCTTGTAGTATGACGACTCGATATCTCTTTTCTTCTTTCTACAAAATGGTAGCCTTGAGAACCTAGCACAAATATATATAGACATATGTAACACACGAAAAATTAAGGAAACTATATATATTTGATACTTGCCATTGCCAACAACGAAAATAAAATGTTGAAATGTTAACAATCTCCTAATTATCTAGTGCGGTACACCTGCTCTGATACCATGCTTAGCCTATGTGTAAAACTTATACTCGTAAACTTGGCTGAACAAGAAGAACGAATTAGAGATTGATTTTTTACTCCTCAGCCGAGCTCGGCCGACGAGTTGGCACGCCCCGCATTCAACCAAAGGACTTAGTTAGCTTATTAGTTATTCGGCCTACACGCCGCGTAGGCTTTGTAATTTTTAGGGTCAACAAGTACATAGTTGAGGGTATTTCAATTGACTTGAGAATATTAGACTATTATTATATATTTGACGGTATTTTTTAGCAGCCTTGATTTCAATATTTTAAAGCAATTTTGTAATATTAAGTATTTAAAATAAGGCCTAGGTAAAGTAAGACATAGACTATAAGAAGAAGAAAAAAGTATATATAGCAAATTGACAAATATTTAACTACCTAATTAAATTCATGAAACATCCAACATGTGTCATTTTATATCAGTTTTATATAAAAGTTTATCAGACACTTTGACACTTTTTTTTTTATTTTTTTTGCTAAATGAACTTTTAGCAATATAGTTTATTAAACACTTACCTGATTTTTTTTACAACGACTTATTCTCACAGCACAATAGAAATAGTTTTTTTTTTTTTTAAAAAAAAAAAAAAAAAAAACACAGCAACCCAAACTAGCCCCTAGCTGGGCATAACAAACTCTTCAATTCGAACAAGTTCTCTAGCAACATCCACCATAACTGGTCGGCTTTCAATTCTATATCGAGTGCAAAACAATGCCAGGTTTAGGAAATCATGCAACTGCTGTTGTATTTGCTCATTTTCCCCCACCTCCTCAAAGATTTTTGGATCGACAATCGCCCTGATTTGACCATCACATTCAAGAACATAAGAAATCACAGATTCATATCCTTCCGCCTGATTAAATTCCACAACATTTCGTCCCGTCAGGAATACAAGTAAAAGAACACCAAAGCTGTAAACATCAGTTTTTGCTGAAATGCGACCAGACCGCATGTAGGCAGGGTCAAGGTACCCAGCAATCCCTCGTACAGCATCTTCAACAACCAAATCCGGAGGAGGAATGGTTATAGAGAGAGAGAAGTCGTAAAGTTTAGGAACATAGTCATCATCCAAGAACAGGCAGCTGGGGTTCAGAAACCTATGAATGATGGCTCCGGCAAAGGCGGTATGGAGATATGAAACTGCACTAGCAACTTGCTTTGCAATACGCAATCTAATGTTCCATGGTAGTATGATTTGATCTTCACTAGCCCCACCTAAACTTCCATCAGGGTTGAGAACTCCTTTTGCTGCGTATTCATGCACCAGCATTGGTATAGGGAACTCTAAGCAGCAGCCCAAGAGTTTCAAAACATTATCATGGTTGCTCATCTGCAATGAAATGACAATGTCACGAATAACGCGAGACCTATTCCCATCCTCATCCTCGTTTGGCCAATTCTCATTGTAGTTCGTTGATACGATAATGGATCGGCCATCTAGAAATCCCCTGAACATTGGGTAAAATGAACCCAGTTTTACATTGCGAGAAGGACTGAAGTTGTTAGTTGCCCTGATGAGGTCATCCGCAGAGTAACAATGAATAGGATGAGATTCTCCATCACTAGAAGCAAGGAGATCCTCTAATAACTTTTTTAGGTTCTTGTAGTATGACGACTCTCTTTCCTTCTTTCTAAAAAATGGCAGCTTTGAGAACCTGACAGAAATATATATACACGATGTAACACAAAAAATTCGTGAAACTGTATATATCTTTCTTACTTGCCATTGTCAACAACGAAAACAAAATGTTGAAATGTTAAAAATCTCATAATTATCTAGTGCGGTACACCTGCTCTCATACCATGCTTGGCCTATAGCTAAAACTTATACTCTACACTTGGCTGAACAACAAGAACGAATTAGAGAATGATTTTTTCCCCATTTATGTGGTACTAAATACTTTTGGAAGATCTCTTGTTCAACAATTTATGTTCTCGAAAAAAGATTACTTCGGATTCAGCACATGAAAAATTTGATTGAGTTCAGGACTTTAAATAATGGTCGATAGCACTTCCTAGACCATAAACAAAAACAGAGGAATTAAATCTGAAATATGCTGATAACTCACAGTTGCAGGAGTTTTGATAGCATTGTTTCAACGTATGATAAGATTCAGATTGCACCAACTCAGTAGATCGATCGATTTCTCCAGCAGTCCGCTGTCGGATGTCTTGTGCAAGCAGATCAGCAGCGCTTCTACTCCGGCAGTTTCATTTTCTTCTGCGGACGGAGAACTAGAGTTTTGAAGAATTGGAAGTTTATTGGTAATGCTTTGCAAAGTCAACGATGCCTGGCCTGCTAAGAAATTACATGGTGCAATAGGCGGTGGGCCAGGCCGAAGAAATACACATGATAAAGGCAACTGGCAACTTGCAAAGAAAGAAAGGAGGAACTAGGAAATAGGAGGCTGTGACAAAATCACATACATGATACACTCGTCCATCATGCAAGGCAAAACACATCAACGACCTTACAATCTCACCTTCAAAATCCACCTCCAAATTCACCTTGTAAGAATATGAGTATGAGATAAAGAAGTTTTGAGAACAGTTGAAGGTATTCAATTAGGGATGGAAAGTCCTATTGATGAAAGGAATGCTGATCCTTTATAGTAAAGGATTTTGGTTAGCATACGGAAAACAAGAGGTTGTTTCCAATTAGGATTTTGATAGGGAATCCTGATTTGTCTTGGAAAAGTCTATATGTATATATATAGTGGCCTCTCTTCTCACAGAGATATGCTCATACTGAACCATAACCTATATGTGAGTCGAGCTCTTAACATTCTGCAAGAGAAGAGAAGGTTCACTGAGAGATTGCTGCGATGGCTTCAAGTGCTGGTGTTGCTGCAGGTATGATTCACTTTCTGGTTTATAATGTGCATATATCTAGATTAGTCCTTTTGTGTTTGTAGTTCATGTTTTGGTCTTGGTGATTGGTTGCTAGATAAATCTTACATGTGGTATCAGAGCCACAAGACATACAAACTTGAGTTCAAATCTGTAAAGGAGAAAAGATGTATGTGTTCAATAAAAAAAAAAATTAAAAAAAAAAATATTAAAATTTTGCCCTGATAGAAAATCGAGGTTGGGTTCTCGAGACCAATAGAACGGCTGTGGAAGAAAACAACGGCTATTTTTGAAATTGAAAAATTTTGACCGTTGGAGCCACTTAACCACAACCGAATGGGATTTTCTCGGATTGGGGTTCGGTTTTGATCTGGGTTTTCATAAAATACGAAACCTTATGTTTTCAAATTCTAAATTCGCTTCCGCTATCTTCATCGAGAATTTGAAATCAGTAATTAAAAGGTATGGTTGTGTTCTGCAAGTTCTGAAATTCCAGTATATGGTTGAATATGTATAAATATATGTTGCTGCATTCTGTGTTCATAAATTAATCGTGATATATGTTGCTGCATTCTGTGTTCATAAATTGATCGTGATAATCGATATCAAACGTAATATAATTGTTGGTTTTGGAAGTAGATTAAAGATTCTAGATTTAACCTTGTTTATTTTGCATCTATGACATGATTGTGAGGACTCCATGCTCAATAAATGTTTAAAGTCACATGGCTGCTACAACATGTTGATTGGATCCTAAGTATATCATTTGTTCTATATATGCTTGTCAACAATTTGTTGATTAAGACTATGTATATGAATCTATGATTATAGTCATGATGTGCAAAGGGATGTTGGAATGAAATCTGGAACTAATGAGTTCTTATTCGTGATTTCATGGTTGCTGCAGCATCTGCAATATCATTGAGGACTATGAACTTAGCCAATATACCTATTCTAACTGGAGGAAGCAATTACAAGAAGTGGAGACGAGAGATTGACCTCTTGTTGACACTTAATGAATTTGACATTGCTCTTGACACTCCCAAGCCGGTTTTAACTGATCAAAGCACTCGGGCTGAGAAAACTGACGCAGAGAGATGGGTTAGAGCCAACAAGGTGGCACTTTCTATACTTGAAAGTGCCATGACAGATACTGTTCGTGGAGGGATCAAGAAGCATGAATTGGCTGTTGATTATTTGGGTGCAATTGAGAGGAAGTTCAAGGAATCTCAAAAGGCAGAAATCAGTCAATATATGGCAATGCTTACCACGTACAAGATTGAAGGCACAGGTTCCATTCGGGATCACATCATGAAAATGACCGATGCAGCTGAAAAGTTAAATTCCCTAGATGTTAACATTGGAGAAAAACAACTAGTTTTTATGATTCTCCAAGCTCTTCCAAGCAAATTCAGTCAATTGAAGGTGTCCTATAACACTCAAGACAAGAATTGGGATGTTGATGAGCTAATTGCACAGTGTGTGCAAGAAGAGACTAGACAGAAGCAAGAAAGATCAAAGGATACTGAAGCAGTAAACTTTGTGCATTCAGACAAAGGGAAAAGGGCTTTCAATTCTTTCCCAGGAAACTATGGTAAGAATTCCAATACTAAGCCTACTTCTTTTAAGCCAATTGCATCTGCTAAAGTAAAAGACTCTGTTAAGGGATCTAACAATCTTAAAATCAAACCTAAAAATATTGCCAAACTTAGATGTTTCTTCTGCAAAACTAAGGGACACTTAAGGAAAGATTGTCAAGTCTTCAATGATTATCTTAAAAGCAAGGGTGTGGAACATGTCAATGTGTGTGTTGAGTCAAATTTGATTGAGATACCTGTGAATTCTTGGTGGTTTGACATTGGATGCTCAGTCCACATTACAAATTCTTTAGAGGGCTTCACAATGTCAAAACAAACTGGATTCAAGAATTATAATGTTTTTGTGGGTGAAGGAACTAAGGTTGCAGTAGAAGCCATAGGAACGGTATACTTAAAACTGTCTTCTGGTTTTATAATGAGTTTAAAAGATGTGCTTTATGTGCCTAAAATGAGGAGAAATTTGGTCTCTGCTTCAAGTATTGTCAAGGAAGGTTTTGCTTTTCTAGGAGATGATGAAAGCTTGAAAATTTTTGAAAAGGGCAAGTTAGATCATGTATTGGGAGATGCTTATTTGAGTGACAACCTGTGGTGTTTGAACTGTACTTTAGAGTCTCATAATCAATATGTCTTAAACACAAGTACTAAAAGGATGCATTGTGGTGATGATTCATTTATTCTTTGGCACAAAAGGTTAGGACATATATCTAAAGAAAGAGTCCTAAAGTTATCCAAGGAAAACTTGATTCCAGAATTGAATTTTGACACTGCAATCGAATGTGTTGATTGTGTCAAGGGAAAGATGACTAATTTTAGAAAACTAGATGCTAAGAGAAGTCATGACTTGCTGGAAATCATACACACTGATATTTGTGGACCTTTTTCTACCAAGACCATATGTGGAAACTCTTATTTTGTTAACTTCATTGATGATTTCTCAAGATTTAGTTATACTTATCTGATATGTGAGAAGTCATCAGTTCTTGATTGTTTTAAAGTCTACAAAACTGAAGTTGAGAAACAACTAGGAAAGGTCATTAAGATTGTTAGATTCGATAGAGGAGGAGAATACTTTGGCAGGTACACTAAGGCTGGACAGAAGAAGGGTCATTTTGCTCATTATCTTGAGCAACAAGGTATCGTTGCTCAATACACCACACCTGGGACACCACAACAGAATGGAGTTTCTGAGAGGAGGAATCGAACTTTAATTGGAATGGTGAGAAGCATGATGACAAGGTCAAAGTTGCCTGGTTTCCTTTGGGGAGAGGCATTAAAGACAGCAACTTACATATTGAATAGAGTACCTTCCAAAGCAGTTTCATCCACACCTTTCAAAATCTGGTGCAAGAGGAAGCCTAGCTTTGATCATTTTCATGTTTAGGGATGTAAAGCTGAGGCTCGAATATATAATCCAAATGAGAAGAAACTTGATGCAAGGACTGTCACATGCTACTTTATCGGATATTCAGAGAAATCCAAAGGCTATATCTGGTCGGCTTTCAATTCTATCTCGAGTGCAAAACAATGCCAGGTTTAGGAAATCATGCAACTGCTGTTGTATTTGCTCATTTTCCTCCACCTCCTCAAAGATTTTTGGATCGACAATCGCCCTGATTTGACCATCACATTCAAGAACATAAGAAATCACAGATTCATATCCTTCCGCCTGATTAAAGTCCAGAGCTTTTCGTCCCGTCAGGAATACAAGTAAAAGAACACCAAAGCTGTAAACATCAGTTTTTTCTGAAATGCGACCAGACCGCATGTAGGCAGGGTCAAGGTACCCAATTGTCCCTCCCACAGCATCTTCAACATCCGAATCCGGAGGAGGAATGGTTATAGAGAGCGAGAAGTCGTAAAGTTTGGGAACATAGTCGTCATCCAAGAACAGGCAGCTGGGTTTCAGATACCTATGAATGATGGCTCCGGCAAAAGCGGTATGGAGATATGAAACTGCACTAGCAACTTGCTTTGCAATACGCAATCTAATGTTCTATGGTAGTATGCTTTGATCTTCACTAGCCCCACCTAAACTTCCATCAGAGTTGAGAACTCCTTTTGCTGCGTATTCATGCACCAGCACTGGTATAGGGAACTCTAAGCAGCAGCCCAAGAGTTTCAAAACATTATCATGGTTGCTCATTTGCAATGAAATGACAATGTCACGAATAACGCAAGACCTATCCCTATCCTCGTCTGACCGGTTCCCAATGTAGTACTTTGATACGATAATGGATCGGCCATCCAGAAATCCCCTGAACATTGTGTAAAATGTACCCCGTTTTACAGTGCGAGAAGGACTGAAGTTGTTAGTTGCCCTGATGAGGTCATCCGCAGAGTAACAATGAATAGGATGAGATTCTCCATCACTAGAAGCAAGGAGATCCTCTAATAACTTTTTTAGATTCTTGTAGTATGACGACTCTCTTTCCTTCTTTCTAAAAAATGGCAGCTTTGAGAACCTGGCACAAATATATATACACGATGTAACACAAAAAATTCATGAAACTGTATATATCTTTCTTACTTGCCATTGTCAACAACGAAAACAAAATGTTGAAATGTTAAAAATCTCATAATTATCTAGTGCGGTACACCTGCTCTCATACCATGCTTGGCCTATAGCTAAAACTTATACTCTACACTTGGCTGAACAACAAGAACGAATTAGAGAATGATTTTTTCCCCATTTATGTGGTACTAAATACTTTTGGAAGATCTCTTGTTCAACAATTTATGTTCTCGAAAAAAGATTACTTCGGATTCAGCACATGAAAAATTTGATTGAGTTCAGGACTTTAAATAATGGTCGATAGCACTTCCTAGACCATAAACAAAAACAGAGGAATTAAATCTGAAATATGCTGATAACTCACAGTTCAGTTG